CTTGAAAGATCAACAAAATTAAAGCATAGATTTACAAAGAATGCTGCTCTCACTTCTCTCTGGTCGAAAACATACTTGAAAGGGACATTTGTGCGCTCTTATCAGTCTATAGCCAAACAGTTGTTGTGGCGCCAAGTCAAAGCGATCCATGAAAGAAAGAAAAAGTTCCATTTTGAATACACAAAACTCCGATCAACAATACCTCCCATCCTCGGGAGCAGAGACACTGTTAAAAAGTTTCTTTTTGTATCATTTTTGCATATCAAATTAGAAAAAGAGGTCCAATCTTTAAATGAATTAAAAAAATACCCACAGCAATAAAAGAGGAAAAATTCTGTAAATTACATAGAGTCACAAAGAGAAGGTAGAAGAAGAAAACTTAATCCATCTGTTTCAAAAGGTTTGTATAGATTTGATTCATGTAAATAACATTTAAAAAGTAAGATAACCACTGTCCCAAACCATTCCAAATTCAATTCCACCACTTGATTTTTCTATTCTTTAATTTAAATTGGTTTTTGAGTTTCTATAGGCAGTCTCTTTTTTAAAACAATAAAAATTCCTCATCAGCTGGAAACACTTTCTTTTTCCATATCTTTCCATTTTGGGCCGTCCCAACTTTGTCAGCCTTTGACTGGATTTTTTGTCACTGGCTTGAAGAACTTCTCTTGCTTCTTTCGAGGATTTTGCGATATCTCCAAGATCAGCAAGATGTATTCTTCCTGTTCACTGTCTCTTCGGGACGGTTTAGGTCCATTTGAACCACCCAGTGGCATAAGTGTTGGCTGTGGTCTCAGAGCATTGAGACCACACAACCATCTCACCGTGACATTGGCCCCTCCCTCCATGTACTGATAATCTTAACGAAGTCTTTCTTAGTTCTCTGTAAGACGTTCTATACTATTAACCTTATGACAGAAGATGATTCAAATATACTGAATTAGTTTATTTCCTTCAATGCAGAGAATTGCATTAGTAAAATAAATTATAGGATTGGAATCTGGTCCAATATCTGTTGGACACCTTATTATTAGCAAATAAAGCAAAGCATGTTTTCTTCCAATTTACTTGATATATGACCTTCAAAAAGACTTGTGATAATTTATTTCAAATTTCCGCTATCTACGCTTTCAGCACCTCATTTTGCCTGTATAGCAGTGAGGGGAGAAAACAATAAAGCCGACACTTTCAAGCTTCCAATAAGAAGAAGAGACAGTTTGCAGGCTTCTTCTTGCTCTACAGTTAAATATCTCTATTTAAATGCAAATTATCATCTGACACTACAAAAATAACATAACAGGAAACAGGTAGACATGTCAAAGTCTGTTAAAAATAACTTGTGTTTATTTTCAGGAGAAGTGGATCAATGTTGTGGGATTTTTATTAAGCATAATATCAGCACCAAGCTTTTATTTGGATATGGCAGTTCCCTGATATGTTGATTAGTACAGCATTTATGGAGCTTTCTCGAAATGCAGCCCATCTCTGTCACTAGGTTGCTTTTCCCAGCTGTTTTCCAGATAGGTGGATTTAATTTCCCTGAATTCTCAGCACTGGCTTTGCGGTCTGGAGCATCCTGGAACTTGAGGGCAGAGTTGAACATCCGTAGATCTCTATTTCAGAAAACAAAGCATTCTCTAGGATATTTTCTGTGTACAGTTATTGTATCACCAAATTTCCTTAACAATCAGACTGTGAGGGTTGTGTAAAATTTGGAAGCTTGGCTATTTATGCTTACATTGAAAGATTGAAAACAGAAAAATGTAATGGCATAGAGAGGATGCCCAGCATGAAGAAATAAAATGATAAAAGAAATGAAAGTAGGTTTGGGGGCATCTGTGTGCCAAATAGTGAATTCTCTATTCCCACTTGTCCAGCCCCACATTCATAGAAGGCAGTGCTAATTTTTTTACTACCGGTTCAGGCGCCCTCGTTTGACACTTCTGTGCATGCGCAGAAGTGTCCAGGCAGGTGGGCGGAGCCTCACTGATCCAGGCCAACCCACCTCTGGTATGTTTCCTGCACACACCAGTTAACTGATTACCCAAACGTTTGTCTATTTCCTCTACTTGGTTGGGTGATCTGTAGTACACACCTATGACAATGTTATTTATTTTTCTTCTGAAATTCACCAAAATACTTTAAAGAAAGCTTTCATCCTTGGTATTGTTTATGTCTGTAGTAATTCTTTAGATACAACAGAATTTTTTCTTCCAGCAATCCAATATGTTTGCACTTGGTGCAGATACAATTTGAACAGGAATATATATGTGGCACTTGCATAATTCTGGTTTCAATAAAATATTCTTGAAAACAACAATTCTGTTCAATAAATGCAAAAAAAAAATTCAGAGGAAAAAGAGAGTCATTCGATTGCTAGTGATAGTCAGTGTGGAAATAAGAGGAAATAAGAGTTGTCCATGTTGAATTGGATTTGAACCCCAAGTCAAATTGGCCTCATGAATCAGTTTAAGTAGGAAATGCTTTCTTATTCACCAGACTGAGATTTGAGCCTGTCCTTTGGATTATGTCATAATAAACTGAAAAGATTATTTAAAGCACAGACTTATCAAAAGAATAGGATTTAATTTAATTTAATAGGATCAATAGGATTTAATTTTGTCAGAAGCATAACACTGTACTTCAGTGGGCAGTATTCCCAGTGACATTCAGTTTCTTCCTTTTTAAACTGAAATATATACTACTTGGATCAGGCAAAATTATTTTTCCTCATATATGAGAGAATAGACCTGAACAGAATTTCAAGTCTTTGCAAGTCTTTACTTACATTTATGTATTTATACCACTTTTCTTTCATATAAAGTCATAATTCTTCAGTATTTCCTTACTCTCCCTCATTCCTAAATAACCTTTTTTTTTCTAAGACAGTTTGGTATATCTAATTTTCATATAGAGTGCTTTAGTTGTCACAATTATTGTTACAGGTTAAAGTTCTGTTCTTTGTGCCAGATGGTATTACTTTCCTCTTGATAAGAATGGACCTGTGTGTCATAACTGCAACAGAAGTCTTGATCCCAATAACCAGATGCTAGGCAATAGCCAAAAATTATATACAGATATAAAAAAGTTTTCATAATTGCTTCAAATGAACCTTGGGCCTGATGTTTTTAATGGAGTGGTTAGAATACATGTGCAACTGTTGTATAACTTAATTAGTAAATTCTAACAATATTATGAGGTTGTCAGAAAATGATGGCATTTGATTGAGTATATATTATGAATGAAGGCAAATGAATATATATGAGTATATATTCTCCACGACTGTCTGTACTTCTTCAAGTGTACTTCTTTATAGAGCAGAAATATTTATACTTAGATGTTGCATTAAGAAGAGTAATTCATACCAAAACAGTTTCAAAGCTATTTTACATGTTAAATATTATCATTGTGTCTCTTTTAAGAAAAGGAAAAGAGCCAAAGTTTAGGATCCATATTTGGAAATCTGAATCAATTTTTTCACTTTATCCCAGAATTTGTGTTTGATCTCCTGGCCAAAAGTTCATGGAAACTTATGTCAGCTGTCCTTGTTAGAAAATTTGCTTTCTTCATCATTTATAAAAGCTTGGGGTGGATCAAAAAGAAAGCAGGTGAAAAATTATATTATGTCATTTCTGACATTCTGCAGGCATGCAGAAGCAAGCCAGTACAATGAGGAACATCACAAATGAACAAATATACAAGTTATTTGTTATACAGCAAACATAATTTTAAGGAGATAAACAAGTGTCTATTAGTTTGCATAGAAATAAAGGAATGTAACTTTCTCCTCAAAATATTGGCCTGGGACAGGACCAGTTACTTGATTTAACTGCATGAAGAAAAGAAATTTGGTCCTTAACAGGAGCTGCCAGAAAGTGGCATTGCAGACAAGATGTTTCAGTCTGACCTTACAAGCAACTACCTGCTGTGCGTATCAAACTGTGGTTGGTCTTGCTATCAAACATTAATCATTTCTGTCAGAGATGCCTCTCTGCTGTCACTACACAATGATTTCTGGAAAAGATAAATTCAGGTTACATATTAGTATAAGCATCCATTAAGGAAAAACAGTTTTAAAGTGGGACCAATTCAGTAGTGGGATTCAAATAATATAACAACCAGTTCTCTGCCCTAATGACCAGCTGGGTAGGCACGGCTCAATGGTCATGTGACTGGGTGGGCGTGGCCTACTCAAGGTCACTCAGGTCGATGGGGAATTTTGCCTTAGCTGTGACAATGTAATAAGGGTTAACCGGAGAGACAGTTTCTGTAAGCAGGGCAATAAAGATTAGGCTAGAAACAACACCAGAATGTTTCCTTCCTGCCTTCCTTACAGGATTAGCCCTGTAAAGTGGAGAAAACCAAAAGGAGATTTCTTCCAACAACCGGTTCTCTGAACTGCTTAGAAAGTTACCAACCGGTTCTCCCTGAAAATATTTAAACACAAGTGCAGTTGGTTGCTGCCATTTTCTCTGGTTGCTTGTCGCACAAACACCATGAGGTGAGGAGGCAAGGTCGGAGAGGGGGGAAAGGGAGGGCTGGACATACCCCATGCACCCCACGTGCCCTTACCTAACGGCCGCCCCCCGCAACCCTAGCCACCTCACCCCTTCTTTCATGCTAAGGTCTGCTCCAAAAAGAGCAGCATGCGCAGCGACACACAACACAGCAGCAGCCATGAGGTGACCATGCTCACTGCTCTCCTGCACCTCAACAATAATAAGACCACCCTAAAAATAAGGTCAATCGCTTTTCTGAGGGGTCAAAAGAAAATAAGACCCTGTCTTATTTTTGGGGAAACACGATAAGAAACATGGCAGATTTTCCAAGGAACCTTTTTTCTTCCCTATATTACATCAGTGGGAAAACATAAATAGTCTCATGAAATTTCCATACTAGATATCCTAGTATTACCTAGAGTTGTTCTGAGATGAAGCTTAAGGGCACTGAAGAAAATAGGCGGTCAATAATCTCTTAATTTTGCTCTATTCTTTCTAAAGGTGGACAGTGTCACAAATCCTGTGGAAATCGATGTTGGGGACCTTCAGCAGATGAGTGCCAAAGTTGTAAGTATATTTGAATAAGAAATAATTTTAAAGTGAGAAGAAGACATTAAGACAAATCAAAAATCAGGCTGTTGACATTATTGAAATTTTTATCAAATAATTACAGTATGTTATGAAATTTTTGTTTCCTGATTGACATAACCTTACTATGATATAGAAATAAGCAGTGCAGTCCTGAAGTAGTAAAACAGACTGTGCCATACATTCAAACTTTAACCTTTTTTTAACAAGAAAGCAATGGAAATAAAACTATCCCACGCTCTTTCTACCTTATTTTCAAGGAGTTTTACTAAAGTCAAACAGCCTGCTCAGGAGTCATAGAAATCCCCCACAATTAGAAAGTGCACAGTGAGCAGCAAGATCTCAAAACAATGTATGGTATTTGTGTGGTCCCTAGATATCATCACATTGGTTTTAAAGTCTGCATCATGAAAATGTATACATATATGATTGCTGACATTTAGGAATCCATTTTATTGGGATTACTGTAAATTCAAACATGAATAACATAGCATCACTGCAATCTTCATGGTTATAGACACAAATGCTGAAAACCTGGTGGATAAAAGGAAAGGAGTGGTTGGCATGCATACCAAAATGTTGAAAGGTTTCGACTTAATATATATACTAAATAAATGTTCAGCTAAAAAAATGTGAATAAGAAAGGGGAGAAAATCTTGGCAGAATAGGCAGAAACATTGACCCTAACTTTGAGTTTTGATGTAAAGAAATATCTTCTTGATGCAAAGAAAAGAGGCGGTGATTGATTTACTCAGTGATCTCCATCTATCAAGATCTTGAAAAAGATTCTTAAATCTCTACAAATTAATTATTCGAATGAGTTCATTTTCAAGACCTTTTCCCATATTCCCAAATTTCAAAGAAGACTGAAACAGTTCCCAAATCAATTCACAAATAGTAATACAGATCATCCTCAACTTACAGCCACTTGTTTAGTGACCATTCAAAGTTACAACGGCACTTACAACCCATTCTCACACTTACAACCAACACAGCATCCCCATGGTCGCATGAGTAAAATTCAACTACTTGGCAACTGTTATGTATTTATGATGATTCCAGAATCCCAGGATCATGTGATCAACTTTTGTAACCTTTTATTCCCCCCACTGAATTTTTTGGCTTCTGGCAAGCAAAGTCAATACACTTAATCACCACGTTAATTTCTGGAGAGCAACTATTCAAATGTTTGGTGGGAAAAATGGACCACTAATCATTTCAGATGATATTGTAGAAGTGTTTGTGAATTCAGTAATGAGTTAGGAATACTTCCCAGCCTTGCATTTTAAATTGGAAAATGTTTCAATGCATTTATAATGTGTGTCTCCTTTTCTTTGAGATGAGTATTTTAGATGGGTTCCCTGAAGTTGGGAACTAACTTGCAATTTCCTTAAGGCTTTGTTCTGAAAATATTTGTTTGTTTGTTTGTTTGTTTAGTTAGTTAGTTAGTTAGTTAGCTCCTATCCTATTCAGTTCCTTAAAACCCAAGGATCATACGGTTCTGAAGACCCCAAGTAATGCCTAATCAAATTGATGGTTGGATGGATAAATAATATGTAATATGAAACAATTAAAAAAATTATCCAAAGGAAACAAAAATAATTACATATATTTCCGTAAGATAAAGACAAGTGCATGTGAGCAAAAAACTGAACAATATCTCTAGATCAATTATGTGGATTTAGCATTTTAACTAAAGATCAACATATTTAATTAAAATCCTGGCGTTACACTAATAACTTTACATGTTCCTCTTATTGATTTCAGCTATTTTCCATTTTCTCTGCCACTTGGTAGATTTATAATTCTATGCAACAGAGAATTAAAGGAAACATTTACAATGATTAATTACATGCAACTGTGCAACGCAATTAAGTAATCCAACTATTCCTACCACTTTCATAAATGCCCCTGGAAACCAGTGAGGAGGGAGGCCAAGGGACATCAGCTTCCATTGTCTGCTGTTCCCAGAGTACCGGAGAACAGACAGATTTAAATAGCAAATAAGTTATTTCTAGTAGTTATGATCTGACCCATTATATGCATTAGCAGGGTTCATATGATTGTTGTGCGCTCATTAAAGCAGAAGAACAACTCAACTAATTTATAACAGAAAGGTTTAGAGGGATGCATGCATGTGTGTAAATATATATATATATATATATATATAGTGAAATAAAGCAATTCTGTGTAATGAGTTACTATAGAGTCGTTATTATTTCCATTTAGGCACCACTTGACTCCAAAACAATTCTGAGTGACTCACAATATAACTGAGAAAATAAAATGCAGTATGAATAAGGGGGAAAACAGATAAATAAAGAACAAGTAAATACAGAGAACAATATGGTGAAATTTCCCAATAACCAGAAATCATGTGCAAACACTTTATTCTTGCATTATAGGCACAAAGTACACATAAGTAGGACCCAGGTAGCAGGAGAAGATTTGAGTGATTATTAAAAATGTCAAAATACAGAAAATATATTTACTTATTTTAGGAACAGAAGGTTTATTAGAGTAACAGTAATTCATTCTACCATAGCATGCTCTCATAGAAAAGCCAAAACAGAACGTTAAAAGTGGCCTCAGTGAGTTTAGCCATTAATATTGCTGTGGCAGTTCTCTGATATTAACAAAATAGCTGGAAGAATCAAGAGGGACCCAGAGGTTGGTGATTATTTTAGCTTGTTCTGGCCCAAAGGTTAGTCAAAATGTGTAAATTACAGCAGTTGGTCATGCTAATGATCTGTCTTAACATTCTCAGACACTTCCACAGTGAGAAGAACTCTCCCAATTGATAACAAGCAGCAAGGATTAAATAGGTGGAACTCTTGCAAAGAAGATGAGTGAAAAACGTATTCTTAGGTATAGCAATTTCTTATCTGAATTTCAAGACAAGGAAGAGAGAGCTTTCCAAGGATGCTCTCAGCGTGCTAACAAAGTCAAGATGGTGGCCACAACAGCACAATTGAAACTCTGCCTGTTTTTATGTGCTACACATGGCCATCATTTTAGCTCCCCCCAGATCCCCCAGGGACTGCCTCAATTGTACCTCAATTGTAAATGGACAGGAATCAAAATCTGTTTCTTAATATAAACCCTTATGGAATAAGAGGAAACAATTCATGTCAATTCATTAATACAAACATTAATGGGAGTTTTTTACTAAGAATGCTCCTAGTTCTGTAATCTTCTAAACCCGTATATCAATAAATAGATTACAAAAAAACATGACATTTGACTCTGAATTTTATTCAAAAGATGCCCTTTTGTGAGAGGAGTTGTTTAAAAAGCTTTGTTGCAGTTGAACATTATTACCTGTTATTGTATATGTTTCTGTCTTCCATTTTTAATATTTAAAATTGTATCAGGGTGAATTTAGCTTTCATGTTTACTTCCCTAATGGCATTTGCTCACTGTATCTTTATCTGTACCCCTCCCTTTATATTTATCACTCTGTCATAAGAGCCAATTACACCTTTTGAATGTCATAAAACATGTAACTGAAATATACTTTTCTGCGATTTTATCTGATGTGAATCAATATCTAGTATAATGTATTAAACTATGTAACAAAAATGCTGATTGAATCACAGAAGAGATACAAGGTCTGCCCAGGGGATTTACCGCCTCTTTCCAGCCTTAAACTTTGTCAAAAAGCAAGTTTTACTAAAACCATGCTTCTAAACAGATGTGCATAAAACTGAACACTGATTTTCATTTTATTTCTTGCAAAGGAGAGGCTGCAATGAATGTACAGAACAATCTGTCTACTGAGAGCATAACTAAGTAGTCTATACTTACACCCAAGTTACATCAAACACAACTCAGAACTAAAACATTAAATTGAAGTCTGGTCTATAATTACTAGCTCTCTTTTTTTGAGGTTTTATGATTGTACAGTTCTGGACAAAATTCTAAATTCAGGATGGGGGCAGAATAAAGAAAGATGCTAGCTTGAACAAAATGAAACTCAATTCTTTTTACAAAAGGTAAAGGAGTATAATAACATACCAAACACCTGTGCTTAATTATCTGAACACATTTCTACAATAAAGAGTAAAAATTGATTATTTACAATTCACCAGTTTTACACTGAATGCAAGACAAGGTTGAAACCAACACTAAAATTGAGGAGAAAGTTGGAATCATTTTATTCTTGAACAGTTTATTTCTGGCTCAGTGTTAACAAACTGACAAATTCTGATTTGGCTTGGACCTAGAGCATATCTTCCTATCTTTAGGAGAAAGATCTTCAGGGATATATTATTTGCTTTCACTTAGTTAGTTCAATACAAATTCAATTCAAATGTAACTGATTCAGTTCAGATATAATTCAATTCAGTCGAATTTGTGCAAAGTTAACTTGTTGATAGTCTCTTATTCCCTTACCTGTTGTTAGTATGTTTCTATCAGTATTAAAAATAATAATGGGATTTCTTATAAATGCATAATTGCAATTTAAATATCCAAAGAAATAACAGATCAAGAAACAAATAGATTGTCCTACTTTCCTTTGAAGCAATCTGCTTCTCATCTTGGAAACTTCAGCTCTGGCTTAGGACTTTGGCCCTGAGCTTAGGACCAAAAGCCGTAGCAATGGCAGAGAAGAGAACAGTTTGCAAGCAAGTAGCTTTCAACAATGTTTTTAAATGAACTTTCTTTTTTAATTTTCTTTTGCATATTGTTTGTCACTTAAAAAAAAAATCAGAACTAAAAGTCTACTTCTCTCTCATATAAATGTTGGAAAAGATGGTTCATTCCCACAACTGTCTGTATATTAGTGATTAGATTAGAATATATCTAATACCTTCATTTCACCATCACAACTCTATATGTAATATGGCAATATATAATTAAGATAAATAAATGTATTTCATTATCATTTTAATGAACTCCCCCATGAACTCCAGTGGTAATGGTAAGCAGTTTGATTAGATCCCTGTTCTGACCCCCTTCATCCTACACCAAAGTACGCCGAGACAAAGATACTGCAAGGATTTATTGATGCACAGACACGACCTTGGCAGCAATCCAGCACAGACAATACGTTGCCAGCAATCCAGCACAGACTAACCTTGGCAGCAATCCAGCTAGCCAAGCTAGTCCAAGAGTTCTCCAGCTCAAGTGAATTATGTTGAATCCTGCAAAAGGGGCGTTTGCACAAGCATTCCTTTTATAGTCTTGAGAGGAGCCTAATTACCACCAGCTGAGTGCAATTATCTCCTGTAACTGCGCAACTGTTCCTTCCACCTATTAGCTCTCCGGTGCCGGGCATCCAGGAACAACTCCCTTGTCTCCTCCCCACTGCTGACGTCCGGATCACACTCCCTTGTGTCCTCCCCACTGGTCCAAGACTCAGGCGCCTCCTGGTGGCCAACCAGCCTCTCTGCGCCCTGCTTGGAGTCGGAAACCTGTCCAGGGTCCTCTACATCTTCAGAGCTGACTCATAGGGCCCCTCGCTGTCGAAGTCTGGTGGCAGCTCCAACGGCTCCTGCTGGGCCACAACAGATCCCAAATGTCTACATTTTCTCCCACTTTACTTGAAAAGATATTTGCTTTAGTGTTCACCTTTTTTTCCTGCCAGGTCAACTAATTGGCATCTGTGGAAAAGATACCAAGAACCTCATCAGTTCTTGCAGCTTTGTGTTTTCTCAATCCATTTGCAACCTAGGCTGTGTTTCCTGATTTCTCTTCTCATCTGTGTACTTTTCTTCTGTCCCCTCTAGTAACAAAAGTGGTGTGTGCAGAGCAGTGTGATGGGCGATGCTATGGACGATCGGTCAGCGAATGTTGTCATCGAGAATGTGCAGGAGGCTGTTCCGGACCTAAAGACACGGACTGCTTCGTAGGTTTCAAAAGTCTTTCTTTTGTACCACTTTTTTCATTGTGGTATTTTACTCCAAGAAATTTGTAAACATGTTTTGGACTTTTATTATATTGCATATAGAGCAGTGTTTCTCAACCTTGGCCACTTGAAGATGTCTGGACTTCAACTCCCAGCCAGCAAATGCTGGCTGGGGAATTCTCGCAGTTGAAGTCCAGACATCTTCAAGTGGCCAAGGTTGAGAAACACTGATATAGAGTGTGAGATATCCACCAGACATCTTAGCATTCGTATTTTCTATTATGTTCCAGTTACTTACCACTTATTTCACCCATTCAATGTTTATAAGTTTTGCAACTAGAGATTTGGAGCAATTTATTGGTGAGAATTTCATCCTGCATTATTTACTTGCCTAAAATTAACAGGTTACAGATGTGGGTGATTCATTTGGAACTTTGATTTTCATTGAAATATAATGCACACATCAGAAATAACTTCAATCATGTTTCCCTAAGAACAATCACCAATGTTTTCTACCTAAGAAGGCAACTTCCATTTCTTCCTTGGTGATCTGTCTTCTATTCGAGGCAGCTACTGATTTCATTCCCAAGATACCCAAAGAATGCACTGCTGTACCTATGTCCATGCTTCAGATTTTTGGGCTCATTAGAGCAGAGATTATGCCATGGGGACAGCAATCTTTTTCTCATTACCCTGGTGGACTTTTAAAGAAAACATTCCCTTTCACAGTCTTCACAAGGAAGTCCTCTGCTATATAAAGGGTTTTAGGCATTGAGAGATATAAGAAATATGAAATCTATGAGAATCCTGCCATTTTATTTTATTGTTAGCCAGGTCTTCTAAAATCCACTATATGTGGGAGTTTTGGGGTGAAGACTAGATCCAATATAGCTTTTTATCATATTACTCCTCTTCTGGTCAAATTTTTATAGCTCTTAATAAGTTGCAAGTGCTTTTATTTCTTTAAACATAAGTTTATATTTCATTGCAGGGGGTTTGCTTGCACAGGAAACATAAAATATAACCACTACCACAGTAATAATGATTAAAATATTTTTTGGCAACATTTGAAGTTGAAGAACCAATTGAGTACATATTTGAGAAATTGGAATTAGGAATCGCTCAGATGAACAAAATAATAGTTATTTAATTCCAGTGCTAAAATTAAAGTGAAAAATCAAATTCAAAGCTGGATTTGCGGATGTACAGTATATTTCAAGCTGGGGCTTGAATTGCAGAGCATAAATTTGGAGATTGTTTCAGAAGATGACATTCAAGGCAGAATCCCTTTCTATAACCAAAATCTGCCACTCACTGGCATCCCTTTATCATGCAATTTGAACTCTTGGTATCACCCTACCAACAAATACTTGATTAAAATCAGAAATGAGAAAACATGGAAGAATAAGTAATATGTCACTTTGATTAGTGGAAAGTTTGTAGCTAGGGGTGCTGATGGGATTTACTATCCTGTCCCATACATAAAGAGAACCTTGCACACCTTGATTTCAACATTGCAAAGAGAAAGAAACCCTGCCTGTCACAACTATGCAGCTTTCACTCTGCTGCCCCAGAAGAAATGAAGCTGAATCTGGCTGAAAGGAGTGGTGGGATTCAGCCGGTTCGCACCACTTACGTTTCTGAGCAGTTTGGTGAACTGGCTGTTGGAAGAAATCATTAGGGCGGAGAACCAGTTGTTAAATTATTTGAATCCCACCACTGGATGAAAATACCTAAAATGATGAACCAAAAAGAGTTGAGGGAGGACAGTTCTCTTCCTTTGGCCGTCATGTGTTTATTTTAAAGCTGTCCTTAAAGGTGAAAACTTTGGGTGAAAACATGAAAGTTAGGTGGAATGAGAGATACTAGGGGCAAAATGACAGTTTATCAACTGGGCATTGTAAAAAATGTAAATGCAAAGTCTTCAGAAGAAAAAGTAGCTTTCAGGAACTAATTAAATATTGTTAGGTCTGTAAAAACTATTTGGTGGCATCTTAAGCTTCTTCCCAGTGATAGTTACCAGATCCTCTCTTTGCATATATGCCTATATTTTTCAGGCCAGGATAAATCCAGTTATAGGCATTTCCACTGGGTTTGATCTATGTAGCCCACCCTTATGCTTGAACATTCAGGGATCTGAATGAAACAGCTGAGTTTCTTCTTGAACCCAGAGCAGGTAGATGAATCTACAATGAACTTGAAGCCACCCTATTCAATGTGGCTTTTTTTCTGTGTCTGTGGCCTGGAAAGGGCAACTAAACAGCACTTGATAACAGGCATAGGAGAGAACCTAAGCTGTTACTCCGATCCATTATCTGCAATTCAGCTGAAGAGGCTGTCAGATACAGGTTGAACAAGGTTTTGTAGCCATAACCTTTAAAAAAACGTTTTTCATTATGCAGTTACTGTGCAATTTGTTGCAATGACAAATTTATCCATTATCGTCTGGAAAGACAATAATGGCTAAAAATGGAATTAGTAGAAAGAAGTAAGTGAATAATTAACAATATTTCAACACAATGAATTAAGAGATGTTCTAACACAGACTGCTTGCTTCAACCTATAATACTCTACTGTGAAAATTGCTAGACAAGACAGTCACCTGTCTTTCTCTGCGTGCTGGTAAGCATTCCTTCACATGAGCACTCTTCAAAGCAAAGAGGCGTGTATCTCTGCACCTTTACTGTTTCAGCAGATTTACTCACAAAGAGTTCTCACAAAGAACCGTGAGAAATGAAATTAAACTGAATGTAAAAAGGCTTCCAGATTTTTTGTGCCTTCCTTCATCAGTTTGACATTTAGTCTTGCTAATTTAAGATGTCTTTCACCATAACATATATATTTTTTGCTTTTGTCCAGTGTTCAGCCAATGTCCATCTAAACCAGTGTTTCTCAACCTTGGCAACTTGAAGATGTCCGGACTTCAACTCCCAGAATTCCCCAGCCAGCGAATGCTGGCTGGGGAATTCTGGGATTTGAAGTCGGGACATCTTCAAGTTGTCAAGGTTGAGAAACACTGATCTAAAGAGTGTTGACATTTACCTTTCACATATCAAGTTGCTCCCTCCACTGCCTTCTTTATAAGTTCTTTCTGTCTAGAGTTGCTAATAGCCAAACAAGGTTTTCCTACCGTTGTAGTCAGATTTTACTTAACATAATGCCAGTTCACTAAATGCCAATGAAAACTCTGAGAGCTGTTTCTTCATTTCCAGGCCTGCATGAACTTCAATGACAGTGGCGCCTGTGTCACCCAATGCCCACAGACTTCAGTCTACAATCCTGCCACCTTCCAGATGGAAACCAATCGAGATGGCAAATATACTTATGGCGCCTTTTGTGTCAAAAAGTGTCCACGTAAGTTACAGCAGAGTTATTTTTTTCCCTCAGTCAAACACCTTTATTTTAAACTCCCGTTATCCATAACTTAAGAAATTATTGCACCCAAGTTAAATATGAAATTGCAGCATTAATTCAAGTTAATAGTTTTAATTTGAAAATTAGTTTTAAAACCAGTGGTTTTATTTTGAATGTATACATTATTCTAGGAACAGCATTTTGGGGGGAGCTGACATTTTAATAAGACCTTTTGCTTAAGAACTAAAACTGTCTTAAATATTATAGGTTTCATAGTCAAAATCATGTTACTTGCATCCAATAATATACAAGAACTGCATGGCAAAGGTCAGATTTGGAGAACTTCCTAACATTTTCTTTTCCTTAAAAGGTTTCATTTTTGTTTTGCATAAAGTATAAGTGAAAATTATATTTATGTTTTCTTGGAATTTTGAAGTGCAGTCTGGTGGTGTCAGTCATCACAAATTTATTACTATTTAAGAGGGCTCACGATTTTGTGTTAGAATTCTGTACCCCATTCTACACATTAAATACATTCTGGGATTGGTCCATAGAAAACCTGCAGCTGCATCATAATAGGGATGAATCCCAGATCTTCTCTTGGTGTTAAGTCAAGACTTGGTCTGGTCAGGAAGTGAGATGCCACAATATGCCAGATCAGAATCATTTTGCCTCCTCGGGGATGAGAAAAACCCTATCAAATGCAGTGAGGTAGATCAGAAACATACCTTTGTTTCAGGCAAAACCTGAAATAGCAAAATCTCAGACAGGCCCCAAGAGAAATGCATCCAAGCATTAGCCAAGCAAAGGCATTTGAAGTTAAACGTGAGACGTAGAGTGTAGCTTTCAGAAACTGAATGGCTTCTAAACTGGGGCCACCTGTAACATACTGAATTTCTCACATAGGAGTTTTTTTTAATCTTGATTTGAACTGATGCAGTATCTATTGTGGTGACCACATCTGCTAGTCTCCCCCACCACAACCATGTTGGTTTTGCTCAGATTCAGAGGTAATAGCAATAGCAATAGCAGTTAGACTTATATACCGCTTCATAGGCCTTTCAGGCCTCTCTAAGCGGTTTACAGAGAGTCAGCATATTGCCCCC